CTGCCATTATTGTGGTTTTATTGGTCACTTAGATAGAAGCTGTTCATCTCGGCTTGCAGACATCAAAAACAAATCTCTTAGATAGAAGTTGTTCATCGCGCGCCCGTGATACACGCGCCCATGACTAGGCCGACTGTTAGTTCCTCGAAGCGATCAACCTGTTGAGGTCGAATAGGTTGCTCGATCATGTATCTAGTCGAGCGATGGGTTGCTCGATCGTTAGTCTGGTCGTGCGGTGGACTGGTCAATTCCCTGAATGTTCGATCTTCCCGCCTTTTGGCTTGGCTCCCTCTTGGTTCAACCTTCTCGACCGGCCCAGGAGACCGGTTTAGCCTTGTGTATATAATATCCCATATCATCTAGTCCCCCCCACTCTGGTCGAGTCTGAGTAACTCGATCTAAGAGTGAATTGGTATTTATCGACCTCCGGGATGGCTCGTCGTCAGATATCGATCGGCTGGTGAGTTTCCTGCTTATCTTTTCAAATAAATTTCCATTAATTGTCAGGCATAAAGTACTCTGTCCCATATCCTTCCTGTCTCATCTGCTTTTCTGCCACGCGTCGCTTCTGTTCGCGTGTGTCAGGTACTTTAATGATGACGCCCCCTTGCACAACGCGCCCACTTAGAGTACCGTGCAATTTAATGCTTTCCGTCGTGCGATCTAACTTTAATCCAACGGTCTTAATCTTTTCACCTCTTGAACTCCTCAGAGTATAAAATCAACACTTAGCAGATTTTAGACTTTTTTTTTTCACCTCTGCAACTCTCGAATTCCTCTATACCCAAAATTCTTTCTGCAAAAAACCTTCACTGTCTCGGCGATTTCTCTAGCGTTCTTTCAAACTTCCATCTTTCGTTGATCCACGGTTATGAGTAAGTCTCTCCGCCCTTGAATTTGTATTCTTTGTAGTTCTATTTTGTGTATTCTTGGATTTTCAATATTGGGTACCCTTGATCTGTCTGTCGAATTGTTTCAAATTGGCGTGTCTTGTGTTGAATTCGTGCTTGGAATACTTTTGTCTGTCTATTGAATGTTGGGGGTTTTACTTCTCCTCTGAAATTTTTTTGAAATTTCCATCCCTATACCTCCCAGATTCTTCCCCTGGTTTTGGGAATTCTCTCTCCCACAACCCTAATCTTTCTTCTCCACTCTTTCTTCCTTGCGACAGCTTCTTTTTGATATTGTTCTCTTTGTCTTTGTTTTGATTTTCTTTTCAGACTCTG